AGGGGCTGCTTCTAAATTATACTCACTGCAGTGTGTCCCACAGGGGCCAGTGTGTTGGACAGGATTCAGGTGGCGCACCATGCACTCTCCCCCTGGGATGTCCCCTCACTGCCCTTTCTCCACCCCAACATCGCCCAGTATTATTTATTATTTCTATTATCTTGGAGACCCCATGATGGACCAGGACCCCATTGTGCTAGGTGCTGTACAAACACAGAAGAACAAAGACAGTCCCTGCCCCAAGGAACTTACAACCGAAGTATGACAGCTCTGCACCACCTGAGCATTATGACTTCTTTATGACCGCTAAAGTGGCACAAAGCGGTCAGAGCTGGGGCAGTCAACAGCCTGGACTGCTATAGTCAGTCCTGATCACCATGTCTCAAGAAGAATAGAGTAGAAATAGAGGGGGTTCAGAGGTGAAAATGAAGAAACTTTCATATGCGGAGATACTGAATAGATTGGCACTGTTTAGAGAGACGGCTAACAGAGGGGACAAAACAGAAGTATTCAAAATAGTAAATTGCGCAGAGAAGGTAAATTGCTCCTATTTACCTTTTCTCATAATATGAGAATGGGGAGACAGTCCAGGAAATTGAAAGGCAGCAGAACTTAATTCTGACAAGAGGAAATACTGTTTCACACCACACATCATTAACCTATGGAACTCATTGCTATAAGATATTGCTGAGGCCAAGACCTCAGGATTCAAAAAAGGATTAGATACTTACAGTAACATTTGATAGGATGATTTTTTTTTAATTAGAGGGTTTAAAACTTCATGACATAAAACAGAATCTTAATTGACTGGGATTAGGGAGTAACTTTCTCCATGGGCCTAAGCAACCCAGTTGCACAGAACAGGGAGGCACAAAAGCTATTTCCAGCTGGGAACAAGCCTGGAAATTCCCACTAACTCTCACTTTCAGTGTCTGGCTTCTCAGTTAATGGCATGTCACTGAAATGGAAAAAATAGAATTCCTTCCAAAACAAACTAGAAGATTTTTGGCAGTGTGGAGTCTCTTCTTGCATATCAGAGCACACAGATCCTGGAGGGAAAAAAAGGCAAAAATATACATGACTTTGAGATCATGGTGGATAATTACTCATTTATATAATTGTTCAATAGTAGCTTTTTTTGTGGGGGTGGGAAAAGGGCAGAGAAAGAGACACAGAGTAACTCTAGGCAAAAATTAAGTCCTGTTTGCTAAGTCTTGAGTAAATTGTCGGTATTGTCAATTGTGCCTGCTACTTATTTGCTTTTGTAAGCCAAAATGTGAATGCAAAAACAATTTTTGGTGCTATGTTTCTGCTAATGTGTTGAGTGACTATTTACGTGATCCTGTAAATCTCTGGACTCTTTGTCTAGTATTTTTCTCTTTTGCTCTTGCTGTTATTGGAGATATTTGTGTCACAGTTCCCGAGTTAACTGTACTTCTAAACCTCCATGGTCCCCATGAGTGTAGCTCATTAGCTCTTAGGCCTCTAGCTTTCACCTTTCTCAAGGTAAGATCCCACAATCCTCTCCCTCCAGACATGGCTGCATAGCTGTCATTCTGTGATCACCTCAGCATCTCTCACTTCAGAGGCAATAACAAAGATATTCAGTGACCAACCGGCTCTCATAAAGTAGCATGCTATTTTTTTAGAACAAAAACATTTCAGTTCAAACATATCTTAAAAACAATAAACAGCTTATATGCATGCCTGGTTTTCCAGGTGGTCATCCATCTTTCATATGGAAACCCTGGCAGGCTTTAAAGCACTTCAGGTCCTCTCACAGGGCCTGTCTATGGGCACAGACTCATGTCAGCTCTTTGATTAAGTGTCAGTGACCCTCTCCCAGGTCAGGGCTGTCACTGTGTACCGTTTCAGATCCTCTGTATCAGGGCCGGCTCCAGCATTTCTGCTGCCCCAAGCAAAAAAAAAAAAAAAAAAAAAAACCC